TCTGTTTTCTTTCCATTTTCCCTAAAACTTTGGCATTGTTCACATGTTTGGTCCATGGTATTCTCAACATCCTTCTGTAGAACTACATTTCTGTTGCTTCAAGTTTCTTCTTCATCTGTGAGGAGATTGCCTAGCACTCACTGCTATATAGGAGAACTGATATTAAATAACATTTCACGACTCTTTTCTTTGTTCCTTACAAAATTTTCCTGTTTCTTAATACTTCGCTTAGCTTTTAGAAGATCTTTTGCTATCCTAATGTACTTTCGGATTTCAGTGCCACACTTTTTCTTCTCTCTTAAAACACTTCCCAGATATTTAAATTGTTGCACTTGATATATCCAAATTGTAATTTGCATGTTGGGTTGTTTCTTTTGTTAACAACCATGTATTATATCTTCTTACAATTGATGGTTATTTTTTTTTCTTGCTCTCCTTTCCTTTCTGTAAAAGTTACTTAGATAGCCTCATCAGATTGAGACTTTCATATGGATGTCAAGCATGGTGCCATACCCATTCAGAAATATGTAAACTATCATCTGTATACAAATGCTTTCTAAGATAAGTGCTTAAAAATGTCTTTGAGTGAGTCAACCCTGAAGATCTTGGCAAAATCCATTTTTCTTTGAAAATTATGGACTGACTGAATCACAAATGAAGAACTGTACCAAATAATCAAAACCATCTCACTGCTGCTTTGGATATCTTGAAAGCATTTGACAGTTGAAAGGCTATGGTATTTTGGGATTAATTTTTGAACTAATTCAATCTTTCTTATCTAATTGTGAAATGAAAGTTGTCCTGAATAGCCACTCTTCTAGATCTTTCTGTAATAATGTACACCAGACCTCTATCTTTGAACCTACTTTGTTCTAAATTTTCATCAATGACCTTCCTGACAACATCAATCCTGTCTCAATAAGTCTGAACAGTTTGATAAGGTGAAATTGACAGGTGTTCTAAGAAATGACCTACAGTTTGTTGTTAACTGGGGCAAGGTGTGGCTTGTTAATTTTAATGCCTCCAAAATATTAATCACCTGAAAGACTCCTTCCCGCCTCTCATCAGCATAGTTGATGCTAACTTCTATGAAAATGCTCATTGCACATTCTTAGTCTAACATTTTACCTATATTGAATCCATTTCTAGGTATTCTGCTAAGATAGTCAGGTCATTGTGTTGTACAAGACAATTTTTCTCTCTGGAATCTATCTTGCATATTTATAATTCTTCCTCGCTTTGAATACTGCTGCCACATTTGGTCCTCTGATAATAATAAAACAAGGATAGTCATAGACTACTCCCAAAATATAAATAGGTACACCCTCCTGGATGCATACCCTGTATTGATGAGATGATAAACGAGATCACCAAGTACAGAATATTTAGCACATTAGACCTATGGAGTGCTTACCATCCTGTGGATGACTTTATCAGTTCGGATGGATACCATTTGGTTTCACTAAACTAGTTTCCAGTTTTCAGAGAGTCCTCAATAAAATAATTCTTGAAGAAAAACTACAAGGCACTTTTGCCTACATAGATAATATGACAATGTGCAGTCCTGACTGGGCCAATCACAATCATAACCTAAAATAATGGCTGTAAGAAATATAATCTTACACTCAACCATGACAAGAGTTCTTATGGGTTGACAACCATTAGACTACTTGGATATATTGTAGGTAAAGGAATCAAAAACAAACACTGAACAGCTAAAGCCACTACTAAAACTACCTATTCTCAACATCATAGCCACCTTGTGATGAACTATGGGTATGTTCACTCATTATTCTCAATGGATACCTTCCTTTTCTGAAAAAAATACACCCACTTATGAAAATTACCAAATTTCCTTTACTTTCTTCTGCCATTAAATCCTTTGAGGAGCTAAAAAGAGATATTGCCAACTCAGCCATCACTTGGTGAATCCTGATATTCCTCTAGAGGTAGGGATTGACGCTTCTGACCATGCCACAGCTGCTGCAATCTGGGCACCCTGTAGTATTCTTCTCCAGAATGTTGTCAAAATCTAAACACAGACATTCAGCTATCAAAAAGGAGGTTTATGCTATAGTTGAGGTGCTAAATAAATGGCAACATTTCTTAATTGGTCACTGCTTTAAATTAATCACTGACCAAAAGTCAGTCTCTCTTATGTTTAATCCCATGACCTCAAGCAAAATGAAAAAGGAAAAGATAGGTAGAGCTTTCCTGTTTTTTGTTTGGCATTTGCTATTGAACCGAATAACAAACGGTTGTCAGATTTTCACTTGAATAAAACCAAGGTTCTACAAACCTGAACCGGGAACTCTAGTAAAATCTACACAGCCATTTGAGAGGCTGAGCATGGACTTTAAGGGCCCTCTTCCATCTAAATACCAAAACAAATATCTACTATCGTTGACAAGTACTTGCAGTTCTGTTTTGCTTTTCCCTGTCCAGATGTAAGTGCAACAACAATGATATGCTGTCTTTACTCACTGTTCTCAGTATTCAGAGCACCAGTTTATATTCATACAGATTGCAGGACCTCTTTTATGCCTGACCAACCAAAAGGATTCCTATTGATATGGGGAGTGGCCGTAAGCCAGACTACCCTATACAATCCTCAAGGGAATGGACAGTGTGTGAGATACAATAGTATAATATGGAAGACCATACAGTTAGCACTTGAAAACCAAAACCTTCCAATTAGATATTGGGAAGACGTAATAACCAAGGATTTGTATGCTATAAGCACACTACTGTGTACAAGAACTAATTCAACTCCTCACGAAAGGTTTTTATAATTTTGAAGGCAAAGTTTGGCTAGGATCTCTCTCTCTCTCTCTCTCTCTCTTTGTGGCTTTCACAGCCAGGTACTGTTTTTCTTAGAAACCATGTTCGACAAAACAAGTATAATTCTCCTGTAAGTAATGTCAAACTGCTTGAAGCAAACATCCAGCACCTCAATGGGAGACAATTGAACATTTCCCTCGGAGATTTGGCCCCTGCTGGTGAGTTATCAGTTCTCCCCTAAAGTAATATCTCTCCCTCTTGATAGCAGCAATGACAGAATTCCATTGGATTCTCTTGAGGAACAAGTCCCTGATAGTGACAATTCAGAGATTGACACCAGAATAGCTCCCTCAAGACGAAAGCATACTACCACAGACTCTGGTAATCATCTTTCAGAATCAAAGCCTCCCACTCCAAGAAGGAAACAAAAACGTTATAAGATGAAATACTTTTGGCTGACTGTTCCAGTAACTCCTGAAAGGTCTGATCAGCTGACACCGAGATGATCTCAGAGAATTGTCAAGAGACCCAGTCACCTGAATGATTTTATGTCGGACTAGGGGAAAACAAAGCTGGAGAGAATGTGGTAAGACAACCTTATTATCTCCCCTGTCTTATGATTTGTATAAATAAGTCACACCATCTGAGCCAAAATGGCAAGATTAAATTATATTCAATAAAGGCACATTAAGCTGAACTAGACTTTGAGTTTACATTACACTTACCTAATTCAAAAGAGTATAAAATGTATAAAACAATTCACTGTGTACCACTTGCTTGGATTTTGAGAAGGTGGGGAGTATATTTTGAGTCTATAAGATTAATCCACTTTCATTCTACCCTTTGGAAATGAAAACTTTATACTTCGTTATTTTTAACTGATTCTGGATACAATAAGTCTACATACTCAATGCAGTAGAGTGCCTTAGCATTTTGGATGTAATAATCTAATTGGTTATATGGGCAACAAGCCAGTCTTTTATACTTTTATTATTACTGTTTTGTCTTTCACTATTTACAGGATAATTATAAGGATTAAGTGATTTTAAATTCAAATAACAATTTATTGTATTGTTCTGTTTTTGTTAGTTTTTTCTGTCTTTATCAGAACTGATTTACACAACTGATTTCATTTCAAGATATCAAGCTTTTGTGTTTCTCAAAATATTTTAATAAAATTATAATTAGTATTAGATAATTTATATAGATATCTGTGTTCTCAAAACTATATTTGAATGATGTATGTGTCAATTGTGCCATGTCTGAATAGTTGAGGCAAAAGTAGATCTGTGTTAAGCATTTCTGTTGTGGATCTCAAGAAGCTTCTTTTTTTTTCAGACCATTTTATTATATATGATATATAGGCTAGAGAATCAAGGAAGAAATAAAAAACTTGCCTCGTACATTTTTCTTTTGTGTTGCTGTATCTGTTGGGTTCTTTTCAAATCTTTTTTGAAGATCTTAAAAGATAAAGTTAGCTAAAAAATATGGAAGCGAAATCAGATTGTAGAAATTGAATTTTCTGGTTTTAGTAGGTCAATATAAAAATATGCTGACAAAAATTGTAATTCAGTTTCTATAGAAAAGAGACCATAATCTACTCGACATTTTCACACAAATATTTTTATTCTGACATTTGTGTATGAGAAAATGCTGAAAAGTTCTTAACCTTACCACAAAGCTCTTTTAAAAAAAATGATCCATTTATGGGAAATGTTTTGAGGTTCTTAGCCCAACCTCTTAGCATCCCCTTGTACAAACTGATTTATTCTTGATGAATAAATTAATAAAGGGAATACGTTGTGATAAATATGGCAACAAAGATGAGAACAATAGTCTGAATAATGTAATTAGTGTACAATTTCAGTGAGCATATACTTTCTTTTCATTCAAATTCTAATGAAAACTGGTAGGGAGATATTGTCAATTAACTATTACAATCTACAATACCTCATGAATGTGTTTTCCATAGGCTATTACAGTAGCCTGAATGAGTGCAAACATATCACATATTATATAAGGTAAGAGTACTTTTATTAAACTACAATTTTAGTATTTTATTATAATAATGTAGATTAAGTTGTTTCAGTAAGAAATATTTGTGTTGATAGACATTGTATGCATGAATGAATTAATTTTTTAGTGAGACGTTAGATTTGTTCATTGAACAGTGCACAACATTTGTGTCTAGTCTTCCCTATCAAAGAACTTATTTCAACTTGTGGCTATATCAGGTTGAAACACCTGTTCCTGTACAATCAACAAAGTTAAGCAATGTCAAGCCTGGTCAGTACTTAGATGTGTCATTGCTTGGGAAGAGAAGGTACTGTAAACTTGGATGTGCAGGTAGTGTAATAGATAATGGCTTGGAATTTTTAATCAGAAAGCCAAGTTCCAATTCCTGTTGGATTTGTTATATTCACTTACACACAAATACCCTTGGAAAAGATATCTCTTCTCCCCCACTTATGGGTTAATTAGTAAGACTCTTATCACTAAATCATCATTATCTCAAAAAAAAATCTTATTATCTAAAAATATTTTCTGGTTTTAATTAACCTGTAAAAGGTTGATAAGCCATTGAAAACATATCAATTTCAATGTACACTACAGGACAAAGTTTTGAAGCCACTCCCAAAATTTGCATGGGACAAACTTGACAACAGAAGAGTGAAAGAAAATGAAAAAGAGCTCTTAGTGTCATTGAAAAAAGAATGGAATCAATTATGAAACTTATACTTTGAGAATCTTTTGCAACAAATGCCAAAAATTTGTGCTGCAGTAATCAAGGCTAAAGGAGGATATTTTGATATTTTCACTTTTTACTTTTTAACCATGTATAATACTTTTCTCTTATTTAAAGTACAAAACAACTATTTTGGGGACCAATTTAAAAATTTACATTTATAGTTTCCTCAAACTTTTGAAATGTAGTGTACTTGAGTTATACATTTTTTTTTTGTTCACAATGGAAACATAAAGAAATATTTCAATGTGTTTGCCTATTTTTCAGTACATAAATGACTCCCAACTATTTTTCTTGATTATTATTTTTAAATACCATATCCCATCAAGATATAGAGGATCATGCTTCTCTACAGATTACGTTTCTTTATTATTTGTGAATTGCCATGATTTTCTGGAAAAGATAGTGGAGTGGTTTCCTATTGACTTTTCTATGATTTGAATTTCAGAGTGGTTTCTCCAGTGTTAAAGAATCCAATCTACACATATAACTAAAAAGAGAAGTGATGGATTCAATCCTTTCTCAAAAGCATTTGTGCAAAAGTAATCACAGTAGACTACATTGAGATTTGAACTTGGTTCACTAATTTCTCTTTCCACACTGATAGCTGCATACCTCATCCTTCTTATAATACAATTATTAATTTTCCTTTGGATCCTTCAGTATAATGCACAGCACAAAATTTTTCTACATCAAATCAGATTAATTTCCTGTTCATGCATAAATAGTTTAATAGTTAATGATAATTGTAATTGCTTCAGTTTTATCTTTTCCTCTTTTTCCTTTTCTTTTTTGTTTTTCTAAACTGAATACAATTAGTGGGTACAATCTTAACAACATAAGATATGCAGATGACACTGTGTTAGTATTGGCCACAAAAAAAAACTACATGAACCCAACCCCTAAACAAAGTAATAAAGGAAATCAAGTAGAAACAAATAACCACAAAAATTATAAGAAGACAGAATGTATGATTGTCAGCAAGAAAAACCACCCAAGATATGTGCAACAAATAGGAAATGTCAAAATCAAACAATGACAGATGTTTAATTATCTGGGATATGTTTTAACAGGGGATGGAAAATGTGGTACCAAAATTCAAAGGATCATTAAAATGGTAAAAGTTATCTTCCAAAAACTAAACAAAGTATTAATAAACATGATACTTTCATTATAAAAAAAGAAAAGAGTGTGTAATATCAATTCTCTTATTTATGCGTGAATACTGGACAATTTCTTCACATATAAAGAGGAGACTTAAGGCAATGGAAATGTAGTTCTGCAGAAGTATACTATGGATGGAGCTTGTAAGCAATAACACATAATGAAGAATGAAGAATTTGAAACTTACAAGTCATACTGAAGGTGTTATAGATGTGTATGGTTTCATGAAAGAACCAACAAAATGACAAATACTGCCAGTGAGGTGAAAAGAAAAGATGACAAGAATTAAGATAAAATTCTTTATGACCAAAATAATCTGTCTAGCTCTGACTGTGAAAATGACAAATTTGAATTTTTGACAATGTCTGAAGAGTTATGGCATGGTTTTTAAGATGGTCAACTTAAAAAAAATGATATCAACTTGTTGAAAAAATGCGAAGTGTAGCATTTAACTCAACAATTGAACTGACCAATTTTGTTTATCATTTCTTTTAGGAGAAATTTAGTTTTTAAATTGAAAAACTTGTAAATTTTTTGCTTGTAACAAACTTGCTAACCCCTACCCATGTAATTTTGCTTCTACAATATTAAATCGATTTGTTGTAGGAGATTTTGATGCACTTGTGAACAAACTTCATTAACCCCCACTGCTCCCAGGGTCTTTTATCAATATCAGGGTCAATATATATGAATGAGCTTGTCTTTGTACTAGAGGTCTCAGGCCAGTACAATGTTTCTCTCACAAGGCAAAGTTCTGTTGCCTTGATTTCTGAGTAGACATGTACACTCATCATCATGTTTGTATCTTCTATTGTACTGCCATTTTATGAATAAGTTCTCGACCATGCAGTAGTCTCCAGTGAGTCCTCTTGATGCCATGATGAAGGGTACTGTTTTGGCTATATTTCCAGACAATGTAATCCAAGTTATTATGCATGCATCTCCTGTGAGTGTGACTGTCTCACTATCTTGTCTTCTATCAAACACACAGCTATCCACATATGAACTCATCTAAATTGAACAAAATCAGCAAACCCAATCTAAAAAAAAAGTAGACCACAGGTTTACCATCTCCTACATTAATATGAAGTGTCTATGTTCCAATTTTCCAGAGGTGGAAATTCATCTTCTTTAAGCCAAACCCAACCTCCTATTTCTGTCTGAAACATGTATTTGTAACTCTATCTCACTGTAGAGCTCGTAATCCCCAGGTACTCACCCCTAATAGCCAAACATGATCACTTAAATCACCATGACCATATGCTTGGTGGCCATATTAAGGACATTTCCTTCTGGCAGAGATGCAAAAACATGAGAACCTTGATCACTCAGATATGTGTTTGCATGTGGCAATCACTGCAAGACAGTTCTGGAAAATGAAAAGTGTAGCTATGCACAAGTGATCCAGGCCAAAGCTAAAAACACACAAATTGGATCCCAAGAGCTCCAATCAAATTCTGAATAGAGGCAAATTTTCTGTACCCACAGTTATAAATGGCCCCTGGACATCTCTTCCTGATCAAATAAGGTGAAGCTCTTTGCCACAATCTTTGCCTCTAACTCAACTTTAGATGACATAGGACATCCCCTTCCCAACTTCCTTCATCTCACCAAGCACAATCTCAGTAGTATTTTTATTACAGTGCAAGAAGTCTCAAGAATTATCAAATGTATTGGCCCAAAGAAAGCCACTGGCCCAGACAAAATCCCAGTGGTTGTCCTTTAAGAACATCAATCAAGATTTATCCCCAATAATAATAAAATTGTTTAACTGCCGCTTGAAGGAGAAATCCTTCCTAAGTCTGTGAAAGGTATCAAGAACACAGATGAGCACTTATGCTCTTCTGTATAGACCCATCAGTATCCTCGGTGTCATTAGTAAGGTTTTGAGGCTATAATCAAGAAGAATGTTGTTGATTACCTAAATAAGAACAATCTCAGTGACAAGCAGTACAGGTTTCCATCAGCTTGATACATTGCTGATGTTCTAACTACCATTACACACAGAATCGGTGAGGCAATAGTCAACAAATACAACTCAAGAACTATAGAAATATCTAAAGGCCTTTGAAAAGGTGTGTCATAAAGAATTACTGCACAAGCTCTCTCATCATGGAATCACTGGAAGAGTCTTTTCAGTTATAAGGTCTTTCCTAATAGGTAGGTCCCCAAAGATAGTTGTAATTACCAGTCCTCTGGGGTCCTAGCAATCAATGCAGGTATCCTCCAGGGTTTGCTTCTTGGACCAACTCATCTCCAACCATTTGTGATCTATGATTAAAACTCTAAATTACCATATATTGGCAGCTGATCTCTTTGCTGACCTAGCTCTAATCTCAATGAGTGTGTAGAAACTGGCTGCTTGCATTTAATCCCTCAAAACCCTAACTATTTACATTCCATTGTCATTGATCAGACATGAAACTATCACCAATCATGATGAATGGATGTTCTCTCAGGGAGGCCCCATGTCTTGAGTACCTATTGGCACTCAACTCAGACCTCAAGTGGAGCTAATAGATAAGAAGTTGGAAAAATGGTCAGTTCCCTGTACTGCACCAGTAATTACCTGATACCTTGTTCTATCTGCTACCTTTACAAGAACCAGATCAGGCCTAAAATGGAATACTGCTGCCATATATGGGCACTGGTTAGTAGCTGCCCAGTCTTCACTTACCACTCTTGATAGAGTTCAAAAGCTTCACCATGTCCTTGGGAGTGACAAATTATTTTTCACCCTACAACCCTTTTTCTTACAGATGAAATGTTGCAATCCTCTCACTGCTTTTATCACTATTTCCATGGAAAGTCTTCAGATGAACTAGATTCCTTAGTTCCACCAGTTCTAACCTTCACAGCTAAGACCTGCCATCCTGTGTACATTGTAGCAAACTACCCCCATTCCCTTCATATTCCATTAGTGAAAAGTAAGTTCCATTTAACCAACTTCTTCCCACAAACCGTTGCTATGTGGAATTGCATCCCAAGAGGATGTTTTCCTGATCACTACAATCTAAGTTAACTCTAGACTTGAACAGGTTAACCCTCTACCTTGCCTTGTAAAGAAATAGAGGATCAAGGCAGAATGTCTTTTTGGGGTGTCTCTGTGAAGTGAGCTGGAGGATTGGGAAAGTCAGTCATGCATGGCATTGATAGTAATGTCAGGGAAGTTGACAGCTTGCCTACCAACTGCTGACAGTGTAGTGAGCAGTGTTCTTAAAAGCAGACAGGGTGGAGCATGACTTGTTTTGAATCAGATGTGATACTCGGGCTCTTGTACAGAGAACAGCTTTATTTTTATTATTGCTTTCTTAGTGTTCACATCAGTTTGACAGGTTTTGATCTAGAGTGAATCAGAAAGAAATATAGTTTGAAGCCGAGTATAACAAAGGCAAGAAGGATGAGGGGAAACAGTGATTAAC